AGGAATGCCCCAACCCTGCTGGGGAGATGGAAACCATATGCTAATGAGCTCCTGCAGCTCTTTTTCTATGAAAAGACCCCTGGAAACAGGAAATGGGAGGGAGGTTTCTATCCAAGCCCCAATTAGCTCCCTTTCTTTGCTCACCAAGTGCCCCCCCCCCTGACAAGATCCACCTCTTTTGCTTTTGGTTTGACCCACACTGACAAGCCAACTAGGTGGCCAATGTCGCATCTGTCTTGAAGAATCCACAGAGTGATTAACACATGGAATTCACTGCCACAGGAGGTGGTGGTAGCTACAAGCATGGACAGCTTCAAGAGGGAACTGGATAAACATATGGAGCAGAGGTCCATCAGTGGCTATTAGCCACAAGTTATAGATAGGAACTCTCAGTCTGGGGCAAGTGATGCTCTGTGTTCTTGGTGCTGGGGGGATGACAACAGTGGGGGGGCTTCTGGGGTCCTGGCCCCACTGGTGGACCTCCTGATGGCACGTGGTATTTTTGGCCACTGTGTGACAGAGTGTTGGACAGGATGGGCCATTGGCCTGATCCAACATTGGCGTCTCTTATGTTCTTATATTCACAGCTGCAGCAGAGAGAAAAGTGGCAGACAGGTCACCTGCTTCCAAGTATATATCCTTGCAAAGATAAAGGTTTGAGCTTGGAGACAGTGGGTTAGATGCAGGAATCTTCTGGGGGCATAAAACTGACTGTGATAGCAAGATGAACAAAACAAAAAACCAAAGAGGCTGCCTTCTTTCATGTGGAAATTATCACACCTGTTTAGTCCCTGAAATGGGACTTTCTGCCCGCAAAGCAACTTCTGAGCCACAACGCCTGTCCAATATTATAAGCTCCTGCGCTGTGCTGAGTCAGACCTTTGGTCCATCCACCTAGCTCAGTATTATCAAACCTTTTGACTGGCTGCAGTTCTTTAGGCTCTGTGCCAGAGAACAAATCTTTCCCAACCTGGTGCCTGAGATCTTTTTAACAAGAGATGCCTGGGACTGAACTTGCGATCTTCAGCATGCAAAGCAGATGCTCTACCGCTGAGCCAAAGCCCCTCCCCAGTTTCTGGTTGGCAGAAGTAGCTCCTAGGAGATACCAAAGTTACACTGATGTTGCTTTGGGGTTCAGACTGCCTGACTGTCTGCTTGCTTCCCACCTACTCAACATAATATTCTTGGCAAAGTAATTAACACAGCAGCGGTGCACAACCTGATTAAAGAGTAGATAAAGGTTTATTTAGGAATTAACATACTTGATAGGAAAGAGGAGACAGAGCTAGGTTCCTAACTACATCTCTAGCTGAGAGAGAGGGTAAGACAGAGCGTGGCACTTCTGAGAAGAAAGAGGAAATTGCCCTAAGAGTAGCAATCTGGAGACAGACGAGGAATGACACTTAACAGGAGAGAGAAGGTGATGTCGTCACTATCCTAATTGTCTTATTGCTGTCCTCTGCAAGGTCTTCTCTTCTTCTTTGTACACCAGACATTGCCTTTTCCAACACCCTTTCTCAAGCTCTACAAAGTCTTCAAGATTAATCTTCTTACATAGACTTTCAAACTTTTCTCGAGAAAGTGGCTTGGTGAGTTCATTTGCAATCGTTTCATCTGTAGGACAGTATTCCTACTCAACAAGTTCTTCTTGCATGTTTCTTACTAGATGATGCTTCACATCTATGTGTTCTTGAGTTGATCTTCTCCATCTTTGCAAGTTTTATGCACCTTTGGTTGTCTTCAACAAGTTGTACTGGTTTGGGTTCCTCTATCCCAAAGTCTTGCATTAGCTGCAGTATCCATTTCAGTTGTCTGCATGCTTCTGCTGCAGATAAATACTCAGCTTCAGTTGAGGACACAAGTACAGTTTCTTGCTTCCTGTTGCTCCAGCTGACTGCTCCACTTCCATAGAAGAATAAATGTCCCCTGGTTGACTTTCTGTCTATAGTATCTCCTGCCCAGTCTCCATTCACATATCCCACTAGTCTGGGATTGTCACTTGTTGGTAACTTTCGTTTCAGATGTGTGCAGTGCCATGCAGGTATTTTTCAGGTCTTTTGACTGTATTCCTGTCTCTTTTGCTTGGCGAGCCCGTCTTTCTGCATAACATGCCAACAGCTGCTGTGATATCTGGACGCGTCAATGTGCTTATGTACAGTAGTCTTCCAATTGCTTCTTTGTACTGCTTGTTGTCAGGCAGAAGTTCACTACTTCCTTGCTGGTTCAGGTAGTTTGTTTCCATAGAAGTGCTTGCTGGCTTAGCTCCTTTCATATTCATGTAGTCCAGAAATTTTTAGGATTTTATGCTTCTGATTGAGAAGATACTTCCATCTTCCTCTCATTCTACTTTTATCCCAAGATAGTAGTTGATGTTTCCTAATTCTTTCACTTCTTGATTCAGATGTTGAATTCAAACCTTTCCTTGGTTAGCATTTGATGAAGCTTCTCGTTCCATCATCTCATAAGCCTGTTTAAGTCCAGATATGCTCTTTTGCAGTTTACGCACAAGTTGCTTGTTTTTGGACTGTTCAAATCCTGGTGGCTGTTCCATGTAAACATCTTCCTTTATTTCTTCATGTAGAAAAGCAGTCTTTATGTCTGGATGCTCCACATGCATCTTCCTTGCTGCTGCTATGCTCAAGAGCATTCTTATTTCTGCTTCTTCTGCAGGTTTTCTTGCTATGTCTTCCCATGTGGAAGGCTCAGGTATAGCTTCCGCCTTTGCTAGATAAGAAAGTCTTCTTGGTGGTACTCCTTTGATGTAGTTGACCAAGTAGTTGATTGTCTCACACTTGGCTCTGTAGCCTCTTCTAGTTCTTTAGGCTCTGCATGTGTGTCGTGTGTTGTCTATAGTGCTCAGGTGCACTGTTTCTGTTTGCTGTGCTTCATTTTTCTCTGTTGGGGTAGATTCACTGATGTCTACTTTCTCCATATTTCTTGATTTCTCCCTTTCATCAATGTAGATTACATTGAAGATCTTGGCCGTTTCTGTTTCTGGGCTGAGGATTCTCTGTTCTTTGTATCCCAAAGCGTAGCCTATA